ATAGCGCTTTCTTGGACACTCAAAGACGCTTCACATGGGGAGTAAAATACAATAATAAGAAGGGGTTTACGGAAAAGCTTGTTTGAAAAGATGGGTTTTGAGTACTGATTTAAAGTTTGATAGTGAGTCGGAGTTTCTAATGAGCAGTGGGAATGAGTTCCAGAGAGTTGGGGCGGCAATGGCAAAAGCTCTGTCCCCCAAGGTTCGGCGGTTAGTGCGGGTGATGGGGGTGAGGAGGTTGGAATTGGCTGAGCGAAGGCGGCGGGTGGGTTGGTGCTGCTGTAGGAGCTCAGTAAGCTCATAAACTACAGACAGTAATGCGCTGCAGTGCTGTGTCTGTACTTTATGCTCATAAACTACAGACAGTAATGTGCTGCAGTGCGTGTGTCTATACTTTATGCTCATAAACTACAGACAGTAATGCGCTGCAGTGCGTGTGTCTGTACTTTATGCTCATAAACTACAGACAGTAATGCGCTGCAGTGCGTGTGTCTGTACTTTATGCTCATAAACTACAGACAGTAATGCGCTGCAGTGCGTGTGTCTGTACTTTATGCTCATAAACTACAGACAGTAATGCGCTGCAGTGCTGTGTCTGTACTTTATGCTCATAAACTACAGACAGTAATGCGCTGCAGTGCTGTGTCTGTACTTTATGCTCATAAACTACAGACAGTAATGTGCTGCAGTGCTGTGTCTATACTTTATGCTCATAAACTACAGACAGTAATGTGCTGCAGTGCTGTGTCTATACTTTATGCTCATAAACTACAGACAGTAATGCGCTGCAGTGCTGTGTCTGTACTTTATGCTCATAAACTACAGACAGTAATGCGCTGCAGTGCTGTGTCTGTACTTTATGCTCATAAACTACAGACAGTAATGCGCTGCAGTGCGTGTGTCTGTACTTTATGCTCATAAACTACAGACAGTAATGCGCTGCAGTGCGTGTGTCTGTACTTTATGCTCATAAACTACAGACAGTAATGCGCTGCAGTGCTGTGTCTGTACTTTATGCTCATAAACTACAGACAGTAATGCGCTGCAGTGCTGTGTCTGTACTTTATGCTCATAAACTACAGACAGTAATGCGCTGCAGTGCTGTGTCTATACTTTATAATAATAATAATAATAATACATCAAACTTATATAGCGCTTTCTTGGACACTCAAAGACGCTTCACATGGGGAGTAAAATACAATAATAAGAAGGGGTTTACGGAAAAGCTTGTTTGAAAAGATGGGTTTTGAGTACTGATTTAAAGTTTGATAGTGAGTCGGAGTTTCTAATGAGCAGTGGGAATGAGTTCCAGAGAGTTGGGGCGGCAATGGCAAAAGCTCTGTCCCCCAAGGTTCGGCGGTTAGTGCGGGTGATGGGGGTGAGGAGGTTGGAATTGGCTGAGCGAAGGCGGCGGGTGGGTTGGTGCTGCTGTAGGAGCTCAGTAAGCTCATAAACTACAGACAGTAATGCGCTGCAGTGCGTGTGTCTATACTTTATGCTCATAAACTACAGACAGTAATGCGCTGCAGTGCGTGTGTCTATACTTTATGCTCATAAACTACAGACAGTAATGCGCTGCAGTGCTGTGTCTGTACTTTATGCTCATAAACTACAGACAGTAATGCGCTGCAGTGCTGTGTCTGTACTTTATGCTCATAAACTACAGACAGTAATGCGCTGCAGTGCTGTGTCTGTACTTTATGCTCATAAACTACAGACAGTAATGCGCTGCAGTGCGTGTGTCTATACTTTATGCTCATAAACTACAGACAGTAATGCGCTGCAGTGCTGTGTCTGTACTTTATGCTCATAAACTACAGACAGTAATGCGCTGCAGTGCGTGTGTCTGTACTTTATGCTCATAAACTACAGACAGTAATGCGCTGCAGTGCGTGTGTCTGTACTTTATGCTCATAAACTACAGACAGTAATGCGCTGCAGTGCGTGTGTCTGTACTTTATGCTCATAAACTACAGACAGTAATGCGCTGCAGTGCTGTGTCTGTACTTTATGCTCATAAACTACAGACAGTAATGCGCTGCAGTGCGTGTGTCTGTACTTTATGCTCATAAACTACAGACAGTAATGCGCTGCAGTGCTGTGTCTGTACTTTATGCTCATAAACTACAGACAGTAATGCGCTGCAGTGCTGTGTCTGTACTTTATGCTCATAAACTACAGACAGTAATGCGCTGCAGTGCGTGTGTCTGTACTTTATGCTCATAAACTACAGACAGTAATGCGCTGCAGTGCTGTGTCTGTACTTTATGCTCATAAACTACAGACAGTAATGCGCTGCAGTGCTGTGTCTGTACTTTATGCTCATAAACTACAGACAGTAATGTGCTGCAGTGCTGTGTCTGTACTTTATGCTCATAAACTACAGACAGTAATGCGCTGCAGTGCGTGTGTCTGTACTTTATGCTCATAAACTACAGACAGTAATGCGCTGCAGTGCTGTGTCTGTACTTTATGCTCATAAACTACAGACAGTAATGCGCTGCAGTGCGTGTGTCTGTACTTTATGCTCATAAACTACAGACAGTAATGCGCTGCAGTGCTGTGTCTGTACTTTATGCTCATAAACTACAGACAGTAATGCGCTGCAGTGCGTGTGTCTGTACTTTATGCTCATAAACTACAGACAGTAATGCGCTGCAGTGCTGTGTCTGTACTTTATGCTCATAAACTACAGACAGTAATGCGCTGCAGTGCGTGTGTCTGTACTTTATGCTCATAAACTACAGACAGTAATGCGCTGCAGTGCTGTGTCTGTACTTTATGCTCATAAACTACAGACAGTAATGTGCTGCAGTGCTGTGTCTGTACTTTATGCTCATAAACTACAGACAGTAATGCGCTGCAGTGCGTGTGTCTGTACTTTATGCTCATAAACTACAGACAGTAATGCGCTGCAGTGCTGTGTCTGTACTTTATGCTCATAAACTACAGACAGTAATGTGCTGCAGTGCTGTGTCTGTACTTTATGCTCATAAACTACAGACAGTAATGCGCTGCAGTGCGTGTGTCTGTACTTTATGCTCATAAACTACAGACAGTAATGCGCTGCAGTGCTGTGTCTGTACTTTATGCTCATAAACTACAGACAGTAATGCGCTGCAGTGCTGTGTCTGTACTTTATGCTCATAAACTACAGACAGTAATGTGCTGCAGTGCTGTGTCTGTACTTTATGCTCATAAACTACAGACAGTAATGTGCTGCAGTGCTGTGTCTATACTTTATGCTCATAAACTACAGACAGTAATGCGCTGCAGTGCTGTGTCTGTACTTTATGCTCATAAACTACAGACAGTAATGTGCTGCAGTGCTGTGTCTGTACTTTATGCTCATAAACTACAGACAGTAATGCGCTGCAGTGCTGTGTCTGTACTTTATGCTCATAAACTACAGACAGTAATGTGCTGCAGTGCGTGTGTCTATACTTTATGCTCATAAACTACAGACAGTAATGTGCTGCAGTGCGTGTGTCTGTACTTTATGCTCATAAACTACAGACAGTAATGCGCTGCAGTGCGTGTGTCTGTACTTTATGCTCATAAACTACAGACAGTAATGCGCTGCAGTGCTGTGTCTATACTTTATGCTCATAAACTACAGACAGTAATGCGCTGCAGTGCTGTGTCTGTACTTTATGCTCATAAACTACAGACAGTAATGCGCTGCAGTGCTGTGTCTGTACTTTATGCTCATAAACTACAGACAGTAATGTGCTGCAGTGCTGTGTTTTCATCACGACTCGGGCACATGTGAAAAGCACCAGCTCACAGCGCCGCACCGCAACACAGAGTCAGGGTGCGTTCACAGACGGTGGAAACCGTAGGAATTTTTAGATTTTGGCGGAAAAAGTGCGAGAATACAGGAGGGAGGAACTTTCTCTCGTTGCGTTTCAAAAGAGAAAACAGATTCCAACGTTCATAGTGATGTCTGCCGTTCATGACACATAAAATGAACTAATTCACGTTCAAGTTCTTTTTTTAAAAATGTGTTGCGTTCATTTCAATGTTCACGAAAAAATGAGCGTGTTCAATGAACGCGTTATTTTGAACTCGTTCACGCACAACACTTCTCCTATGTGCCCTTCTGGGTTTCTTCTTTGGCCCCCTGTATCTCCAACTACATATAGTTTGTAATCTCTGTCTACAATGTATCTGAACTAGTCCTTTTCTTTGTTTCTATTTTTTTAATAGATTAAAAAAATGACGCCGTTAATATTGATTTGCGTTAACGCGTTAATAACGCGATATTTTGGACAGCACTAATATATATATATTATATATATATATATATATACATATATATACACACATTATGTGTTGCCAGGTTGTATCATATCCTTGTGTTGTGTTGTGCTGTGTGTGTTGTGTTGCTAGGTTGTATCACATCCTTGTGTTGTGCTGTGTGTGTTGTGTTGCCAGGTCGTATCACATCCTTGTGTTGTGCTGTGTGTGTTGCCAGGTTGTATCACATCCTTGTGTTGTGCTGTGTGTGTTGCCAGGTTGTATCACATCCTTGTGTTGTGCTGTGTGTGTTGCCAGGTTGTATCACATCCTTGTCTTGTGCTGTGTGTGTGTTGCCAGGTTGTATCACATCCTTGTGTTGTGCTGTGTGTGTTGCCAGGTTGTATCACATCCTTGTGTTGTGCTGTGTGTGTTGCCAGGTTGTATCACATCCTTGTGTTGTGCTGTGTGTGTTGCCAGGTTGTATCACATCCTTGTCTTGTGCTGTGTGTGTGTTACCAGGTTGTATCACATCCTTGTGTTGTGCTGTGTGTGTTGCAGGTTGTATCACATCCTTGTGTTGTGCTGTGTGTGTTGCCAGGTTGTATCACATCCTTGTCTTGTGCTGTGTGTGTTGCCAGGTTGTATCACATCCTTGTCTTGTGCTGTGTGTGTTGCCAGGTTGTATCACATCCTTGTCTTGTGCTGTGTGTGTTGCCAGGTTGTATCACATCCTTGTGTTGTGCTGTGTGTGTTGCCAGGTGGTACACAGTGCGCTTCAGGGAGAAGGGGGAGTCCGCTCGGTGGGAGCACAGGGACAGTTCCCAGAGGAGGCTGATGGTGGAGGGTCTCTCTCCTGACGCCATGTACGAGTTCTCTGTCCGCATCAACCAGGGCCCCTGGGGGCCCTCGGTGTTCCAGAGGACCCCCGAGTCTGGTACACTCACTTTATTAGTATCATTATTATTCGTATTAATATTATTAATATTTCTATTATTATCATTATCATTATTATTGGTATTACTATTATTATTATTATTAATTTTATCATTATCGTTCTTACTCATATTATTACTCTTATTAATATTATTCATTTGTTTACTGCTACATGTACTCTCACTAAAGCCCAGCACCAACAGTATGGGTTCGAGGAGGGTTCGCTGGTTTCAGCTTCTGCACAGAACAGTCAGAGAACACCCTCTTAATACTTTATACTTTATACTTAGTACTTAATACTTTATACTTTCTCCCCCCTGGACTGCCACCTTAACGTGGTGGGGGAGTTTGACTCGGATGATCCTGGGAGCTATGCTGTCTGGGGCTTCATGCCCCTGGTAGGGTCTCCCATGGTTCACAGGTCTCAGGTGACCAGTCAGACGAAGAGCAGTCCAAAACCCACCCTGGAGCCAGGCCTGGGGTTGGGGCTCGAACGCGAGCGCCTGGTGGCCGGGCCTTATCCCACGGGGCCCTGGGATCAGCCCGAAAGGAAGACGTGGGCAGTCCCTCCTGTGGGCCCACCACCCGCAGAGGGGTTTGTGCTGGTCAGGTGCAGAGAGGACTGGGCAGCAGTCAAATGCAGAGACCTCGGCGACCCAGTCCGCACACCCAACATCTGGCTCTAGGGACGTGAAACGTCGCCTCACTGGGGGGGAAGGAGCCCGAGCTCGTGGGGGAGGTCGAGAGATACCGACTAGAGATAGTCTCACCTCCACACACAGCTTGGGCTCTGAACCCAACTCCTTGAGAGGGGTTGGGACGCTCAACTTTTCTGGTGTTTCTGGCCATCTCAGCTCCACGTGTTGGAGTTCTCCCCGGTGAATGAGAGGGTCGCGTCCCTCCGCCTCAGGGTGGGGGACAAGTCTCTCACTGTTGTTGTGCCTACGGGCCTAGCAGCAGTGCAGAGTACTCGGCCTTCTTGGAGTCCTTGGGACGGGTACTGGACGGTGCACCCGGGGACTGCGTTATTCCTCCTGGGGGACTTCAACGCCCAACGGCCCGGGCTGTTGCAGAGGCAAAAACCTGGGACTGGGAGGAGTTCGGAGAGTCCATGGAGCATGACTATCGGTCGGCCTCAAATAGATTCTGGCAAACCGTCCGGCGCCTCAGGAGGGGGAAGCAGTTCTTTACCAACACTGTGTACGGTGCGGGTGGAGGGCTGCTGACCTCGACTGGGGATATTGCCAGGCGGTGGAAGGAATACTTCAAGGTTCTCCTCAATCCCCCCGTCACGTCCTCCGTCAGAGGCAGAGGCTGAGGATGTTGGGACACCAAGGTGAGGTCACCAAGGTGGTTACAGCCTCCATGGTGGCAAGGCCCCGGGAGTGGATGAGATCCGTCCTGACTATCTAAAGTCTCTGGATGTTGTAGGACTGTCTTGGCTGACACATCTCTGCAACATCACGTGGCGATCGGGGGCGGTGCCAATGGAGTGGCAGACCGGGGTGGTGGTCCCTCTCAAACCGGGGTGGTGGTCCCTCTCTACAAGAAGGGGGACTGGAGGGTGTGTTCCAATTATCGTGGGATCACACTCCTCAGCCTCCCCGGTAAGGTCTACTCCAAGGTACTGGAGAGGAGGCTAAGGCCGATGGTCGAATCTCGGATTCAGGAGGAGCAGTGTGGTTTTGGTCCCGGTCGCGGAACACTGGACCAGCTCTATACTCTCCATCGGATACTCGAGGGTTCATGGGAGTTCGCCCAACCTGTCCACATGTGCTTTGTGGATTTGGAGAAGGCGTTCGACCATGTTTCCCGGGGTGTCCTTTGGGGGGTTCTTCGGGAGTACGGGGTCCTCTGCTGAGGGCCGTCCGGTCCCTGTATGACCGGAGCCAGAGCTGTGTTCGCATCAGCAGTAAGTCAGACCTGTTCCCGGTGCATGTTGGCCTCCGCCAGGGCTGCCCTTTGTCACCGGTTCTGTTCACTGTCTTTATGGACAGAATTTCTAGGCGCAGCCAGGGGCCGGAGGGGGTCCGGTTCAGAGACCACAGGATTTCATCTCCGCTGTTTGCGGACGATGTCGTCCTGTTGGCTCCAACGAACCAGGACCTGCAACATGCACTGGGATGGTTTGCAGCCGAGTGTGAAGCGGCTGGGATGAGAATCAGCACCTCCAAATCTGAGGCCATGGTGCTCTCCAGGTCCTGGTCCTCTCCAGGTCCTGGTCCTCTCCAGGACCAGGAATGAAGACTCCATACAAAAGCATTGGGTAATTCTCTTTCCGGGGACACCCCCACTGGCCCGGGGTGGTATGACAGCATGTCAGTGCACATGCTCATGGACCTGATCAACCCGCCCTGGTCTGACATTATCCGGTCTTCCTCTGGTTCTGTTGCAGCTCCGTCTGGGTCGCCTGAGAACTTTGACGTCAAACCTCTTCGTGGAAAAGGAACCGCCGTCATTGCGACGTGGGACGAACCGGACGAACCCAACGGCAGGATCCGAGGTGAGGCTAAAGATAAGGTCCTTGACTTTTACACCACAGGTGATACCCCAGAGAGAGACACAGAGAGAGAGAGACAGAGAGAGAGACAGAGAGAGAGACAGAGAGAGAGACAGAGAGAGAGAGACAGAGAGAGACAGAGAGAGAGAGACAGAGAGAGAGAGACAGAGAGAGAGACAGAGAGAGAGACAGAGAGAGACAGAGAGAGAGAGAGAGAGACAGAGAGAGACAAAGAGAGAGAGACAGAGAGACAAAGAGAGAGAGAGAGACAAAGAGAGAGAGACAGAGAGAGAGACAAAGAGAGAGAGAGAGAGAGAGAGACAAAGAGAGAGAGAGAGAGAGACAAAGAGAGGGACAAAGAGAGAGAGAGACAGAGACAGACAGAGAGAGAGAGACAAAGAGAGAGACAGAGAGAGAGACAGAGAGAGAGAGAGACAGAGACAGACAGAGAGAGAGAGACAAAGAGAGAGACAGAGAGAGAGAGAGACAGAGAGAGAGACAGAGAGAGAGAGACAGGGACAGAGGCAAAGACCTGAGTAGCTCTCCTTCTCCTCTGCGACCTGGAAGTAGCTCTCATCCTCTGGGAGTAGCTCTCTTGGAGGTGTGAGTTGAAAGTCCGTCTGACAGGGGGCTCAGTGAGACCAGCTGACCCTCACTACACGCTTGGGTCTGAGCCAGGTCTGTCCGGCTTCCTCTTGCAGCGGATCCAGCTAACAACCAGGTTCTTGCTCTCTTTAGCTCCTCCCCTCTCTTTAGCTCCGCCCCTTTCTTCACCCGTGTGTCCGAGACACGCGGTCGAAGGTCAGATGATACGACAACAAAGTGGATCATCGACCTCCGGCCTCAGGTCCTGGCGCCCCCTGGTGGACACCCTTGTGCTGGAACATGGTGTTGGTGATGGACAAACTGTGACTAGCACAGAAGTCCAACAACTGAACACCGCTCGGGTTCAGATCAGGGCCGTTCTTCCCCTTCACCCCTCTCCAAGTGTCACTGGCGTCCCCCACATGGGCGTTGAAGTCCCCCAAGAGATAAAACGAAGTCCCCGGGCGGTGCACTGTCCAGTACCCCTCCCAAGGACTCCAAGAAGGCCGGATACTCTGCACTGCTGTTAGGCCCGTAGGCCGTCACAACAGTGAGAGACTTGTCCCCCACCCGGAGGCGGAGGGACGCGACCCTCTCATTCACCGGGGAGAACTCCAACACGTGGAGCTGAGATGGGGGGCAATGAGAATGGCCACCCCAGCTCGCCGCCTCTCCCCGCGGGAAACACCAGAAAAGTGGAGCGTCCAACCCTTTCTAGGTTGAAAGATACCTAGAGATAGGCCGACTATCTCTAGTCGGTATCGCTCAACTTCCCCCACGAGCTCGGGCTCCTCCACCCCCAATGAGGTGATGTTCCACGTCCGAAGAGCCAGATGTTGTGTGTGTGGACTGGGTCACCGAGGTCTCTGCCTTTGACTGCCGCCCAGTCCTCTCTGCACCGAACCACCACGGACCCCTCTGCGGGTGGTGGGCCCACAGGAGGGACTGCCCGTGTCGTCCTTTCGGGCTGAGCCCAGGGCCCCGTAGGCTAAGGCCCGGCCACCAGGCCCTCGCTTTCGAGCCCCGACCCCAGACCTGGCTCAAGGGGGGGGCCCTGGCTGCTCCATGCCGGGCGACGTCACTGTTCTCACTGTAGTGCTGTCCATGGTGACTTTGGACTGTGCTTTGTCTGACTGGTCACCAGAGACCTGTGTACCATGGGAGGTCCTACCAGGGGCATAAAGACCTGTGTACCATGGGAGGTCCTACCAGGGGCATAGAGACCTGTGTACCATGGGAGGTCCTACCAGGGGCATAGAGACCTGTGTACCATGGGAGGTCCTACCAGGGGCATAGAGACCTGTGTACCATGGGAGGCCCTACCAGCATACCTACAACACCATCCTGTAAACAGGTTTTCCAGAGGAAAGAAGACATTGTACGTTAGCATTGGATAACTCTCTTTCTGGGTCCGCCCCCACAGGCCCGGGGTGATATTGCAGCATGTCAGTTTATGTGCTCTTGAGGCGCGTTCAGGCCAAAAGCTTCAAAAAGCTTTGACGTGCGTTGTCTGACGCTGGGTCCGGTGTGAACGCCTTGGTGCTTGAAGCTTCTGACGCGAGTGACGCCGGTGGGAAGAGCTTCTCTGTTGCCGGTTGTCAAGACAATGGTGGATTTCCAGAAAGCAGCGAGCCTTTATTTGTTATATAAAGCCAAATAACGTTGTCGTAGGGTTTCTACAAAACGTGTTCTGGGTTCACCACAGACTGAGGCTGCAGTGTTTGCTGAGTTTCACTTTACTGCAGGAGCTGCGTACGGAGGAGTTTCACTTTACTCCAGGAGCTGCGTACGGAGGAGTTTCACTTTACTCCAGGAGCTGCGTACGGAGGAGTTTCACTTTACTCCAGGAGCTGCGTACGGAGGAGTTTCACTTTACTCCAGGAGCTGCGTACGGAGGAGTTTCACTTTACTCCAGGAGCTGCGTACGGAGGAGTTTCACTTTACTCCAGGAGCTGCGTACGGAGATGTAGAGCATATAGCTTTTTCTATTTTAGTATCTACACGGCTGAGGGCTCACGCACTGTCCTAGTTTGTCCACTGGGTGGCAGTTTAGAGTGGTGTCTCTCAATTAGGCTGCACCTGTGTTGGGCTTAAGAGGGGCATGTGCACACCTGTGGGATTAGGCATCATGGCAGGGTGAGCACGGGCTGCTACTTTCTGTTGACCGTAAGCAACATTCTGTACATCATCATCATCATCATCATCTTCCGGAAGGGCAACTGAGTCAAATCCACAAAACATCAAGTAAGTCCCTATCTGCATACGAATGAATCTACGCGTCAGCAACAAAGCCCGTGTCTTAGCCTGCCGCGGCGTATTGCCTCAGTTTGGACATTTTACGCCGCAATATTTTGTCAACAGAAATGTTTTCATGCGAGGATTCATCGTATTGTCATGTAACCCTTTTTTAACACTTTCGGATCGCGTTGAAAGTTCGGAATGATAGACGTGAACGCGCATTGGAGATGTCTCATTCATTCACAAACTTGTTCGTAATGGATTAACACAGTTGCTTCGTGAGGTACTGCAAGTGTTTGGTTCGCATTGACTGTTATATTCCCCGGTTAGGCTCAGTGGCGTTTCACACAAGGTGGAGCGCTACAGTATTTTGTTGTTTTGTAGGGTCGCTCGTGCGTCAAGCGGGTAAAGCATTTGCTTGGGAGTACCGCCGTAGATCTGATCTGGGCTCTGCTCAGCGTCAGTCTATCGGTATATCCGAGGTACATAAGACCAAATCGCTAGTACGCACAGAAGACTAGGGTTGAGTCTAGTTTAGTGCCAACGGAGAGATTAGGGGAATGAGAAGACCGCTTGCAGTACATTGTTCAAGTGTTTGGAAAATTAAAGCCACTGTGTGTAATTTTGGAGTTTTTTTCCTGGATGTTGGATTTTTTTGTGTGAATGAACAATGGAGTCAAAAATGAATCCGCTAAGAGGCCAATAAAGCTTACGGAAAAGGCTTTTGAACAGAAGCTGGAAAGGCTTCAGGATGAGAGAAAAGCCAAAGTCAAAAGAATGAAGACTACAATGAGAGACATATCTGAGTTAAAGAAAAATGTTGAAAATGTTGAAATGGTGCGTTCTTGTCTGGAAACTGTGTCTGGTTTGTACAGTGAGGCCTGTCAGCTGCATGATAATGTGATTCCTATGCTTCCATCAGAGGAACAAAAAAAGCAAAAATGAATGGTTTGAAAGTGTCACGGAGCTTAAAACCAGTTTTGCGGAAGAAACTAATAAGTGGTTGTTGGAGTTGCCTGGTGTTGTCGATGTGTTTCCTGCAGAGGGCGCTGTTGTGTCTCGAGCTCTCACTGTGCAAACTGCTGTTTTAAGTGGCAGCACTACAAATGAGATGACACGTGTAAATAATGTAGTTGAGGCTGTGGAACCGAGTGACAGTGTTTCAAACAATTCCAATAAATCTAAGAGGCGTAGTACAGTAGTGAGCAGGTCTGTGTCAACAACTTCCTCTGCCAGGTTACAAGCAGAGGCAGAGACAGCAGCTCTTATGGCCCGTCAGAAACTTCTCAAAGAGAGACATGTTATAGAAGCACAGCAGGACGAGCTGCGAAGGAAAATGGAGGAGCAGCAGGATTTATTGAGGAGAAAGAAAGAGGCCCTTGACTTAGACATGGAGCTGGCTGTGTCCATGGCCAAAGTAAATGTATTAAAGGCCTCAGAAGGATCTCATGTGTCTGCTAATTCTGATGGGAAAAGATCTTGTATGGGAGAACCCAAGGCCGTTAGTTTAAATGCAAAAGCTAGTGCATTTGTGCCTGTCGTTAACACATGGAATGCTCCATCTATCAGTGCTGCAGTAAGGTCTAAGAGTATTAACCGGAACTCTGTCGTTATTGGGGCCGGTTTACCAGTTATGATCCCATCTAGTGGTGCGGCGTGTCAGTCTGCTCCGCAGTCTTATTCTGAACCCCCGCCACTGATGACAGAGAATGCCTCGGATAAACGTTTTCTTACAGTTTTGGAAAAACAGAATGAAATTACATCATTATTGGTTGAACAACAGTCAATGTTTCTTTTGCCTAAACGAGATGTGCATGTGTTTGATGGAGATCCACTGCAATATCAGACGTTCATTAGAGCCTTCGAACATAACATAGAAGCTAGAACTCAAAGTCAGAGAGATTGTTTGTATTACCTTGAGCAGTACACTAGAGGTCAGCCGAGGAACTTGGTTCGAAGTTGCCTATATCTACCTCCTGCACATGGTTACATGCAAGCAAAAGCTTTACTTAAAGAGCATTTTGGAGATTCTTTTAAGGTAGCATCTGCATACATGGGCAAGGTCCTTTCATGGCCCATAGTGAAAGGCCTACAGTTTGTTGCTGCGTGAATGCTGCAATTCCATGGGTGATTGTGTGGGTGATTTGAATGTTCCCACCAACATGCAGACTATTGTAAAGAAGCTGCCCTATAAGCTTAGGGACCGTTGGAGAGATGCGGCTTGTGATCTGCAAGAACGGTTTAATCGCAGAGCCAATTTTCATGATGTCGTGTATTTTGTTGAGAAGCAAGTTAAGATAGCAAGTGACCCTTTGTTTGGAGACATTCAGGACTCTCCAGGACCTGTAAGAAAGGAGTTTAAATACGTTAAGTCTGGTACTAAACCTAAAGGTAGTTTTGCCACTACAATAGCACCTGTAGAGAATAGGGTTGCGCCTGTCCATAAGGAGAGGGAAGAACTTTACTTTGAATGTGTGTTTGTTTTGTGGGGCTGGTCATGCTTTGGATGTTTGCCTTCTATTGGATAAGAAGACGCGAGAAGAGAAGTTGTCTTTTTTGAAGGAAAACAATTTGTGCTTTGGGTGTCTGTGCATTGGGCACAGGAGTAAAGATTGTAGGAAACGTCTGTCATGCAGAGTTTGCAATCTTAAGCACGCAACGTTATTGCATTTCCACTCCAAAAGTAGTTCTTCACAGGCTGGTCTTGGCACAAACAGGGCCAGCCAAGGTGCTGTAGTGGCTGTTCAATCTAGTGGGTTAACAGGGGCCGGCAAGCAGGACTGTGCGTTGTCAATCCTGCCTGTTTGAGTGAAGTCCAAGCGAGGACATGAGACCCTGCTAACATATGCGTTTTTAGACCCCGGTAGTACTGCTACGTTTTGTACAGAGAGACTCATGAATAGGCTTAATCTTACAGGAAGGAAGATGGGAATTCTTCTTCGAACAATGGGGCAAGAGAAGTTGGTGGACAGCTACCTGTTGTCTGACATAGAAGTATCTGGTCTGGACTCTAAGTTTTGCGATGTACCAGAGATCTATACACAAGCGAGCATGCCTGTTCACAGAAGCAACATTGCGAGTACGAAAGATCTTCGAAAATGGCCGCACTTGAGACACTTAAGTATTCCGGAAATCGATGCTGATGTAGATCTTTTAATAGGAACCAATGTACCTCAGGCACTGGAGCCATGGGAGGTGGTGCGTGCCATGGATGGAGGTCCATATGCCATCAAGACCATTCTTGGTTGGACTGTGAATGGCCCCCTCAGAGATGTGGTCATGGGAAGCATTCACAGCCTGAGGTTTCTGTAAATCGTATCTCGTGGCGAGATTAGACAGTCCTTTGGGAACAGCAGCTAATTTGATTTTCCCGAAAGGCAGCAAGAAGAACTGGCACTCTCAAAAGAGGAGAGAACAGTTTTTGAAATCTGTTGCAGAAGTCTGTCAAGCTGGTGGATGTCACTACAGTATCTGGGCTGCCAGTGAGATATCGACACCTCAATATGCCTAACAATAGTTTTGCGGAACAGCGAATGGTGAATCTTAAAAGAACAGCAAAGATGCATCGTTTCGATTTTGATTAGTTTGTCAGGAATTTTCTAATGGTTTACGCGAAGCGAGTTCATCCTGAGCAACTGGCCGAGCTGAAGGTAGGGTGTGGTACATACCACATCACGGTTGTATTCATCCTCCAAAGGAAAGCTATGGGTTGTGTTTGATTGTGGCCTCGTTCCAAGGGACCACTTCACTGAACCACAGCTTCTTCAAGGCCAAGACCTCACAAGTTCTTTGGTTGGTGTCCTCCAACAAATTTCGTAAGGAGTCCGTGGGGCTCATGGCAAATGTTGAGCCATGTTTCACGCAGTAACGTGTGCCACCGAGGACTATGATCTCCTGAGATTTAAGGTGGCATGATGGGCAATGAGAGCTTAGAGGCCGTGGAACACAGGATGGTGGTGCATTTGTTCGTCCACTTCTCCCGAGCTGTGCCTCCTTTGCTCTACGGAAGTGCGCTGAAGATAATTTGTGGTCAGTTTGGTTTGCGGCGTCAACCTATTCGTCACAATGCTACGTTGATGACTGTTTGGTTTCTTGTTAGCATCCCGATAGGAAGCAATTTTGTTATGTCATGAATTTTAAGAAGTCAATTGTGTCTAAGGGTGGATTTAAACTTACCAAGTGGCTTAGGAATAGGCCTCTGTATTGCAGCTATCCCTTTGAAGCCAGAGCTAAAGAAGTGAAAAATTTAGATTTGACCATGATATTTTGCCTCGAGCGTGCTTTAGGTGTACAGTGTGTGTTCAGTCAGATTCCTTAAGTTTTAAGATCACGCTTAAAGACCGTCCACTCACCAGAAGAGGATTTTATCTGTTATTAGTCATGTAAACGATCCTCCGGTTTTCTAGCACCTGTTATTTTGGTTGCCAAAAGCTAGTCCAGGCTCTCTGCAGAAGACGACTGGGTGGGAGATCCATGCCTCCTACTATTGTTAGAGACTGATTTGTGGCTCAAAGATCTCTACATCTTGAAACTGGAGGTCATATTAGTAGATGTTTGAAGCCTGCAGATTTAATGTGTCACTGCGCAGCTCCACACTTTGCAGACCAGTGAATGAAGGGTTGGAACGGTTTACCTACCTGATCTTCATGACGGAAGCGGCGCGTTCATTTCTCATTTGTGATGGGCAAGGCCGTGTAGCACCCTTGAAGCCTGTTACCATCCCCCGCAGAACTAACAGCTGCGGTGGTGGCCAGCAGGATGGAAAGTTTTGGAGAAAAGAATTCTTGGATTGACTGAAGATCTGCTTGGACAGACAGCACTTCTGTTTTGAATACATTAGGAAACGTGCGTACTGATTCACCAATCACTAAATCTGTCTGCTACAGAACAACAGTGATTGATTCTATGGACACTTATGTTTGTTTTGTTGTGTGTCTCTGCATATTAGTGGGATGGTAATTATTTCTTGGTAAAAATTAGGGCCG